CATGAATATGTGAAACTGACTGTTAAAAAATACTAGATGCAACAGTGATATCTACCAGACGTTTCAGTATTTTCCAGAGTATAATGCAGATGTTGACTGTGGAATGGATGCAGGCATATATTGTATTTAATTTACTTTTACACTAATCTATTAAAAAAAAACAGTCTCTAAAATGGTGATCATGGCAAGGCTGTAGTATATATACCATGGTGTGTTGCTGCAAGACGTAGATTAGAATCCTGTAACTGAGCTGAAAATGAGTGGGGAGTCCATTTTAGTAATTTAAGTGACACTCAAAGCGTTCATGATATGACAGCCTTCAGGATTAGTATGAGAAGTGGATAGTAAATTTTAGGTGCATATCCCTAGTGAACACTATTTAAATGATATTACATTTTAATTTTTCAAGCAACATTTTATTCAAAAGAAGTAATGAAATCCAAGTTGAAACAATTTTCTTCCCTGATGAAATAATGAGCTGCTTCCTTAAGGAAGAATCTTTCAGTGTTGTTACCATTATGGAAGTATAGATATATATTTTGTAGTTTTACCTGGACTGTAAATTTTTTTAAAAGGGAATGATATTTTTTCCTGATTATTTCATTAACATCATCTCTCAATATGATGCTTATTAGATATCATTATCTGGTAATATGGATGGAAAAATTTGGCTACAGATTTTTTTTTCTCTCAAATTGTATGCATACATGCAATTAATAGAAACTGGAAATTTGTGGAGTCTTAAAAAAAAAAAAGCCAAAATTTGATTTATATAGATTTTCACTTCTCTTATAGCACTTGGAGTTTCCTACTGTTTCTATTAAGTCACTAAAGCTGAACATATCTGATAAAGACAGAATCTGGCCTTATAATTGGGGATTTGTGATATTTTACGTAGTATGATTTGGCTTGTTTGAGCTTAATATTGCCATGCTTAGATGATTACAAGTGTGCATGTCTCTATTTCTGGGTTTAATTGCCATTCCATCTATCACATTTCAAAACTATATGGGAAGCTCTTGTCCATGTACGGATTGGATGCATGTGATAGTCCCAGGTGCACAAAAAGCATTTTTTTATATATCTGTATTTATATGTGCATGGGATATCTGCTGACCTGGGTTTACAGAACACCTGGAATAATATCTATACTACAAGAAAGCATAACAACACATTTAAAAATTATTAATTATGTTAGTCATGTTTCAGTTGTAGTGTAACTAAGGAGGGGCCCTTCTAATCTGCTTTTCCCTTCTGCTTGATACTAGAATAGCAGTTAAAGCGTCACTAGCTGTTTTCAGCCTGCTGGTTAGTTGTTACATATTACTTGACACTTCTTATATTCTAGTTGTTATTATTTTTGTTAAGTCTCAAAAAATATATTTCTATATAAAAAATAAACTTATTTTTAAAAACAATCAGTTCTTGTCAGTAATTCATACTGCAAAAGTTTAAGGAACATTTTCTGAGTTTTGGAAATTGGATTTAAAATAACAGAAATTATTTTTTTCATCTTCTGATAGTAATGGAAAATGAACTTGCATAGGATGTAGTATGTATTAAGTCTAGGATATACAGACAAGGATGAATGCCAAAAGAGAAAAGACTACCAGAGGAGCTTTATGCATATGCAGAAACAGTAATTTCACCTCTAAACAGAGATCATAAGCAGAGTGTACTTACCCAACATTTCAGGTTAAATGTGAAAGTGTAAGGGCAGGAGTCCTCTTACCTTTGCAGAAGAGTATGTCTGTGTAAATGGGGATAAAATGACCTTCAGGCTTGCATATATTGTGGGAGTGGGGAGTGCCAGGAATACAATGTTTTTTAAAAGAAGAAAGTTCCTAATACTATTCCTGAAGCAAATTATTAAGGTACTAGACAAACAATATTAACCATTTCCAGAGCAGATAATATGCCATGGCATCCCTTGAGGACATTGGCTAAAAAATTTCCAGTAGGCTGGAATGAGCTCTAGGCATGGATGATCTATTTTAGTCTTACTGTTACAGAGGATTTTATACTTAAAAAATGAGTGAAAGCAATCAAACAAAAAACAAGGCACACTGATAGATTAGTTGCTTTTTACTTTGATAAGAAGTGTTCTGAAGATTCAAACTGTATTGCAAAATAGTTAAATGAATTTGCAGTCTCATTGGCAAGTAGAAAAGTTAACTTTGGAACATGTTACTGAAAATAGAGGTTGACAAGTACAAGAAAAACAGTTTTCAGAAAAGTTGGAGCAGAAGCAGCTACATAAAAATAGTAGCCAATGTCATTTAGAATCAAATGTAGAATAGATTACCAGTATATCAAAGAGGTTTTGACAGAAATCTATGCAATTTGAAAAAACCTCAGTTGTACTAATATGCATCCTACATGGAGGAGACTGAGTGGTGTAACTACGACATCTTTATCTAAAACTGAATTTATATCACACTAAATAACACTAGACAGTGTTTATATGCTCAGGATGTTTTTTGTATAAATACACAGCTATATCTATATTTATGTATGCATAGGTATGTGTATATGAGAGAGCCTTGTCTCAGGATTTTCCATTTTTATATTTGTGCATTGAACAGCTTGGCTAATGAATATGATTTAGGTTGCTTCCGTTGAGTAAACCTGACTTTGAAGAGGTAATTTTTACTAAAGGGAATGTGAAGTGGCTTCAGTGGCATAGGTCAGTGGTGAAACCTCAGAGACCTATGCATTATTTCCAGGTCTGTTAATGACCAGCTGTGTGTCACTTTGGACATGATATGTTAACATCTCAAATCCTTGTCCTGACCTTTGTTAGAATATGCGATTTCTTTTTATTTTTTATAAAATGTTGCTTAACATATCAGTCCCCACAGAATTAACTTCTCTGAAATGTACTCCAATGACAGCAATAAAAACGTACTCTGGTTAGATGGAAGGAGATATTTTGAACCTGTGTTCACAAAAATATTTTTATTGCTGAAAACATGCTGACCTTGAATTAAAAAGGATAATGCAAATTTTACTTTTCAGTATTCATATATTTGAGCCAAACCTGCCAGTTCATGCTCAATAATCATGAAAGTGGAAATCTCTATGCATATATTTTGACTTTGATGCATATATTTTGAATGCATGACTTCTCTGCTTTCAAACTGACATTCTGTATTTTGTTTTTGTCCTGGTTTGAACCAGGATGAAGGCATTTTTTCTACCACTGATTTTTTAAAATTCATTAAGAAAATATAATTTAAGACTGGTGTGAAAGAAATAAGTAGGAATCACAAGATAGTTAGCTTATTTTTTTTCTCTAAAAGCAAACAATGCTGAAACATCCTAGTCCCTGGACAAGCAGAAGTTCAAAACCAAAACAAAACTATATATTAAAAATGTCTGTTGTTTGAAAAAGGTTACATTTTCAAATATAGAGATTATTCTTTTTTTTAGATAAAACAATGCATTCAAAGAATGCTCAGATTACACAGCACGATAGTGAGCACTGGTATGACTACAGGCTTCTTTGAAATTCCTAATGACTTCATTGCTAACTATTCAGAATCTTCTGAGGGGTTTTCATAGACTTTGGGCAATTCTGTGGTATTTTAAATAAGTGTTAAATTTACAATTGGTTAATCTGCATGTAGCTTTAATCTTTAATTATGAGGTTTAAATTATATTAATATAAAAAACAGTATATCTAAATTAGTGCAAACTCTTACAGTAATAGAATTATACCCTGCAGTTTTATTAGGGAGTTAAACAGACTCAAAAATCTAAAACTCTGTAAAATAGTTGTATTTTTCCCATTTTAAAGTCAGGAATAAAGTTATTCATACTGTTTACACCAAATAATAGAGGACTGTCATTTTTTTTTTGTTGTGATTGAAGATCATTTTACATCATGGACTCTAAAGTTTTTATGAAATATTTTTTAATATTTTGTGAATTGGTATTTCAACTGTATGTGTCCTGTTTTTTATTTCTGAATTTAAAGGTTATCCCACCGAAGGATTGGAAGCCAAGAAAACATTATGATGATATTGAAGATTTGTTGATCCCGGCTCCGATTCAACAGATGGTCACAGGCCAGTCAGGGCTCTTCACACAGTACAACATTCAGAAAAAACCAATGACAGTGAAGGAGTTCAGGCAGCTGGCAAACAGTGACAAGTATGTCTATGGATAGAGAGACAAGTATTTCTTTGTTCCTATATAATAATTTGTTGGGATTGTGCTAGACAGCTCATGATTCCTTCTCTTACTTAGCAGAATAAATCTCTTAAATTGTGGAAGGGTAACACAATGTGAATCTTCTTTGTGTTTCTGTTATTGAAAGTATCTGGTACTGTGGAATCACAGAATCACAGAATCTTAGGGGTTGGAAGGGATCCTGAAAGCCCATCCAGTCCACCCCCCCTGCCAGAGCAGCATCACTGAGAGGACATCGCATAGGAACACATCCAGGCAGGTTTTGAATGTCTCCAGCAAAGGAGACTCTACAACCTCTCTGGGCAGCCTGTACCAGTGCTCTGTCACTCTCACAATAAAGAAGTATTTTCTGATGTTTATGTGGAACGTCCTATGCTCCAGTTTGCACCCGTTGCCCCTTGTCCTATCACTGAATATCACTGAAAAAAGCCTGGCTCCATCCTCCAGACACTTGCCCTTAATGTATTTGTAAACATTGATGAGGTCGCCCCTCAGTCTCCTTTTCTCCAAGCTAAAGAGACCCAGCTCCCTCAGCCTTTCCTCAGTAGGGAGATGTTCCACTGCCTTCATCATCTTTGTGGCTCTGTGCTGGACTCTTTCAAGCAATTCCCTGTCCTTCTTGAACAGTGGGACCCAGAACTGGACACAATATTCCAGATGTGGCCTCACCAAGGCAGAAGAGAGGGGGAGGAGAACCTCTCTTGCCCTCCTAACCACACCCTTTCTAATACACCCCAGGATGCCATTGGCCTTCTTGGCTACAAGGGCACATTGCTGGCTCATGGTCATCCTCCTGTCCACCAGGACCCTCAGGTCCCTTTCTCCTACACTGCTCTGCAGCAGGTCAGCCCCCAAACTGTACTGGTCCATGGGCTTGTTCTTCCCCAGATGCAAGACTCTACACTTGCCCTTGTTGAATTTCATCAAGTTTCTCCCTGTCCAACTCTCCAACCTGTCTAGGTCTCGCTGAATGGCAACACAGCCTTCTGGTGTGTCAGCCACTCCTCTCAGTTTAGTGTCATCAGCAAACTTGCTGAGAGCACACTCTGTTCCCTCATCCAGGTCGTTGATGAAAATATGAACAGCACTAGTCCCAGTACCAACCCCTGAGGGACTCCACTAGCCACAGACCTCCAACTAGACTCTTTCCTGTTGACCACAACTCTCTGACTTTTTCCCTCCAACCAGTTCATGATCCACCTCTCCAACCAATGATCCAGATCACACTTCCTCAGTTTAGATATGAGGATGCTGGAAACAAGAAAGCATTTGAAAAACTGGAGACCTGATGCTTTCTGTCTGTCTTTTTTCTTTCTATTCTAAAATGCGGATATTGAAAATAATGAAGATGGTGCAGACTCGTGTGAGTTTTATTTTGAATACACTTAATAATGTTTTAAGTATGAAACTTTTAATTATTAATTAAATTTTTTTTTGGCCTAGATACTGGAATGGCCTATTATAATGTAATTCTGAAAAAAACCCCAGTGTTTTTTTAGTGTGCCCAGAAGTTTTTGCTTTAAGAAAACCCAGCTACACCTGGTATATGGCAAGGTGAATATTGAGGTGGGGAAAAAGTCTATGAAGGACAAGGAACTGTACAAGAGTTCATAATTGGTGAGCATTCTAAGAAGATAGTGGTTATAGAAGGAATTCTTCCCCATTCCTTTTGTCCACATAAAAAGAATAAGTTCTGTTTTCAGTATTCCCTCAAAACTGAATGGGAATAGTTTCTGAAAGTTGAGTCAAAGGATCCTAGAGAACAGGTACTTGCATGTAATGAAGGAGGGTAACACTGCCCTAGTTTGAAGGAAAGTTTCTCACATAAGTTAATTTAAGAAATTAAGAAGGTTATCAAGATCAGAAAAAAATTAGGCCCTGAACAGCTTTTAAACAGGCTCCTCAGTAAACGTTCCATAATATCCATGCCTTTGTAGAAGTGCAAAGTTGATCTCTGTTTTTCAATTTATAACGATGGATATGTTTCTGCCCATGTATTACTTGTGAAAAATTGAGGTTATGGCACTTAAATTTTTATTGCTCTCTTAAGTGGGATTGGGAACTTATTTTGTTATGCTTAAAATTACTCCTTCAGTAACTCTAAGAGGGGAGAATAAAATACAAAACCTGTATAATATCTGATGCAATTTTCTATGTTATCTGTTCATACATGTTGGAAGTCTACATTTGATTAACCCATGATAAAATGAGAGACTAGTTTCTTAAAATAGTTACATGATGCAAAAATACTGTGAGTGTTTTAATATGTATCATGATGTTAGTATAATTTATTATATTTTTTATCTTAGAAGGCATTTTGTAATTGTTCCTGATTTCAGTTTTCATATTTTTTTCTGAAATCAATTGGCAACTCCATAGGTACAGTTAAGAGTAGTTGGGAGGGCTTCTTGTCTATTACTAGCTGTGGGTCTTTCTAAATACTCATTACTGGTCTTGAGAAAATGTGTCATAAAACCTCCCATAACACTCTTAATGCAGTTTATAGTTCTTTAAACTATTAAGTAGCTGAAAGTCCTTATTATCCCATAAAATAATATTGTTTCTTAATGAAGAAGTCTTCTCTGTTAAAGATTATTTTCTTGAATATTGCGGTGTTATCTATTTCCTTTAGGAAAAAGAGAAAGACCATGAATATCTAAAGTGAATCGTAGCTGCCTTAAAAGGATTGCATTGCATCTTTTATTTGCTTAGTCATTTGCAATTCACCATTGAACCAAGGTGCTTCTCCAACTTGATCTCTTGGAAATACGGGCATACCTGCATCCCATAATCGAGATACTTGCTATGGCAACTGAGTTGATGTATCCGTATTGCTCAGTGCCAAGCAGAAATGCAATCTGATTTCTGGAACCTTACAATGAGAAGCAAACTTTCTTTTCTAAGGCCTAAATGTGGGAGAACAGATGACTCTCAAAGGATCATGAGGCAAAAGCTATTGATGGTGGTTTTCTATGGTAGTGCTCTAATGTTCTGTTTCCATGAGATTTTATATGAGATTTAAACCTTCAAAAAATATATACATAAGTATGTTTGCACATATAAAAGTATGGTTCCTTGTGCTGCAGTGAAGGAGTAAAAAGAAAAATTCCCTTAAATATATATATATTTTTTTTACTATGTAGTATAATTTTTGGTATCAACTGTTTGAAACATTATGCCTTTTCTCAAAAGGTTTTTCTGGGGAAGGAAAAAGAGAAGAAAATACTTTTGCGTAGCAGGACTGTTACTTGGCAGAATTAGTACATTTGATTTGTTCTGACACAGGCTTGTAGAGCACCTACCTCTGTGTCTTTGCAGAGCTGGAAGTGAGGCAGGAAAATAACAAATATTAGTAATATAGCGGTCTTTCCATGTGTCTTTTTTTATGGAAGAGAAACAAAAGGGAGGGTGTCAGCCTGAGTGTAGTCATTAGATGAGTTGTTTAGCTGCTAGAGCCTGAAGAAAACATTACATGGGTAGGTGTATGATTTGTTACTGTAGCTTTCAGGTAGGAGGTTACACGGTCTGCAGAATTGTGAATTCAGGACAACTAATAATTCCTCTATTTCAGTGAATTTGAAATGAAGTCCTCTGTTAGAATTCACTTTGCAGGATCAGAGATATAGTCCATTGTGAAGGTGTTTGTTGAAAAACTGCACTGAACTTTTGCCTATCTCTTCCTCTGCAGATACTGCACCCCAAGATACGTAGATTATGAAGATCTGGAGCGTAAATACTGGAAGAACTTGACTTTTGTGGCACCAATTTATGGAGCAGATATCAATGGGAGCATTTATGATGAAGTATGCATAGCTTTTTATGAAGTTTATCTGTTCCAGCCCTCTTTTAAAGGGTGCTGTGCTTAGAGGATACATTCTTGCTTTGTGACTGAGAATCTGTCTCTCCTATGAAATCATTGTGTTACTCACTTTAAAGACTCCAAGTAAGGTTGAAATCAATTCTACATCTGCAAGAGTCAAACAGTTCTCTCCTTAGACAGTAGAATATTGCTACTGTTCATGATGATAAGACTCTTTCTTGATTTTGAACACTCCAGCTCCAGAACTTTGAGATTCCTTTCTATTCATTTATTTGTGTATTAACATGTCAGTATGTGTGTTTTCTGTGTAACTCCATGGAAATTTAGTGATACTTTAAACAACTTTAACATTTAAAGATTAAATACTGTATTTCTTTCTCTTCTGAGGAAGATAGTTAGGTTCCATGCTTGGAATGCCTGTGATTTCCTGGAAATGTGCTTGCGATTACTGTGTATCTCTGAATTAAAATAGACTAAACGGAAACTTTCGAGAGAAATGAATTTTGCTGGTTACTTGCCAAGATCTCCACAAACAAAAAGGGACTTTTAACACAGATCTCATTATCCAAAGAATTACAGAATATCCATTTATACCAATGAGGCTATGCAAATAGCTATAGGAACTGGATTTTGAAAGGATTATTTAAGTAATGAGACTAACAGAAGAAATGTTAGCATTTCAAAAAAACTGATGTTCTATGTAACCGACTCTCCAATTAGTCAACCAATTAAAAAAATAAAATAAAAAACTAGAATTTCCCTGTGACAAGTTGTTTGAGGCTCTACTAAGCTTTCATATTTCTTCATAGATGATGGATTACTTGAAGACTCTGTCCAAAGATAAATATGGTCAGCCAAGATGCAATTCAGTTTTTTACTTTGGATTATGTGATCTTCAGAAGATACCTATAAATGTCCAGTGGTCTATTGTTTAGAGAAAGCAGCAAGACTAGATTATTTTGTTTGTCTAACAGTTGTGTAAAATTTTTTTTGAAAATAAATGGGCATTCTGATTTGGCCTGTTCTTGTGAAGAGATATTCTAGATAGTTTTTGCTTTGTGGAGACCAAAGTGTGGCACAGGAAAGCTGTGTGTCTTTCAAAAAATACAAGCTTGACCTTTTTCTTCAATATTTTTTTTCTGTAATGTTTGCAGATAATGCCATCTGGTGTAGCTTTTTACAAATGTACACTTTGCTTTTTGTTCTGTGTTCTTTGGTCTTTAGTATGTTAAGGCTACAGCTGCATGAGCAGTATTTCCAAAGAAAAGAAAATAGAGTAATACCCAATTTGAAATGCTCACTGGTCAAAGAGAATGTCAGAGATTTCCTTCTCATGGAATTGCAGTGATTAAATTGGGAGGCTGATGAAGCAGGATCAAAAAAGAAAGGTGAATTGAGAAGGGCAGCATTCAGCAGTCCTAACTCAGATGTTAGGTGAATAGGAAGGGGAGACAAAGAAAGCACAGAAACCTGCAGGATATCTGGAATAAAGGAGTGTGAAAGAACACAGTAGTAGATAGAATTAAAAGAAAACAAATAAACAACCTTAATGGCTATGATTAAACGCGTATTAAAAGTAAACCAAGAACAAAGGAGAAATGGTGAAAGGGAGTGTTCACGGAAGAAAGAGCGTGAACAGACTGAGCAGTTAATGTGACAGCCATGTCATGGTGTATAGCCCGATGGGGTTTATAGGAAAATAAGGAAAAACCCCTGGTACCAAACTGTTGGTGAGGAAGTTATGGATGCCACTGATTAAAGTACTTTTTCTTAGAATATTTTTGCTGAAGTTAATTTTTGGCCAACAGATGGTGCACTTGCACAACTAGTATTTTTCATGTCTTAACGCTTGAAGATGGTGCTAAGAAATAATCTTTGGATTCTGTTTGGAATTAGAGGTTATTCTTACGTAATTTATTTTGCTTCAGGATTGTAATTATTGGGGGAAAAGAGATGAATAGATGGAGCTGACATTTGGGGCAATATGCGGCAGAAGGGGGATGGCTGGATTAATTTGTAATAGCAGCCTATTTGCAATAAAAACCCCAAATGCCTACTTTTTACAAAATGCATGTATTAAAAAAACCATGTATAACATGTATAACTGTGTGTTATACATGTTACCTTTAACATAGAAAGGTAAACATGTGGCAGAACTCCAGGTAGAAAACCACCAGGAACTTAGCAAAGGTGCAATGTCCACATGTACTTGGGCCATCAAAATCAGTAAGAAATGCTGCTCTGCTAGGAGTTCTTATTCTTAATTTTAAATATTTACCAATTATATTTTCTTTTCCACATGGTAACGTTCAATTTTATATTGAGACATCTCTATGTGAAACATGATGAAGCCTCTATTGTTGGTGTTTATAATATTCAAGAAACAGCATGTTGTTATTTGTGGAATCCAGCACCTTACTGGCATTAAACCAGAGAGGTGTAGATCTTGTAGTATTGTTAGCTTGTCTTACATAAGCAGATGGCAGATTCTGAGGGATTTGGAAGGCAGGGCAAAGTGTTAAAGCCTGTGTTATATGGGAGAGCAAATATAGCCCAACAACAAAACCAGGAACAAAGCCATCAATGCATGCTTTGAAATTTGACAACTGCCATAAATGATTCAAAGTTTACCCTTGTGATGTTAGGGTTATTCCAGAGTCTGTATTTATAATATATTTATGGTTATTTGATAGTTCTGAACATGTATGAAGACATTATGAATAAGGGGATAAACTGAGAATAAGTGTTCTGTATGCTGTATAGAGCTTTATAGAAAATAAATTTAAGATAGTTGAATATTTGCTTGAAAGGTTATTCTCTGTATGCATTTTAATTGCTGTTACATTTAACTACAGTGCTTTTTAGGTGAATGGTAATGTAGATGACTCAAGAAAAAGCATTGCACTAAGGAAGAGATTGTAAGGTTTGCTATTTATGTTATGTTTATGAACACTACTAGATACATTTTCAGGGTTCTGTCTGTTTGTTGTTACAAAGGCATCTGGACTTGAATGAAAATTAATATTCCTGGAAAAGTTTATAATGTCAAGCACCAGTTTCAATACCTGCAGTTGTTAAACTGATTAATGAATTGAATATGAACACCCAAGAGTTTTGGCTGTTTAGGAAGTTTAAATGAGAAGTGATTATTAATTTTTTATTACGTTATTACAGGAAAGCTGTCTTCCTTGTGAGTTAGCATGAATGTAATGCCAACTTGAGCCAGACTGTGAAACAGTTGCAAAAAGTTACTCTTCCTTTTTGGAAGGGAAAGGAATAGTAGTATTTTGGTTTTGATACCATATATTTATGAACCTTATTAACTTTCTATTAACTTAGTGGCAGTTGTACCTGTGACTAAATTGAAGAGTTCAACTCACCTGCTTTTTCTGTACAATCCCTGTTCTGGTAAACTAGTTAGGCATTCCACTTTCATGCCTCTCCTGACTGTTGTTTAAATCAAATCACCATTCACTCTGGCCACAATTTTTTTCCTTGTTGTATGAGATACAAGGGTCTCAAATCAACTGTTTCTGCTTCCCAGGGTTTTTTATTTTTTTTAATTACTTTGAAATTGTCTTTGTATGGACTGATGAGGAAGATGTATGATACCCCTACATGGACTGATCTAGCAATTAGGGGTAAAAAATCTTTGTGGTTTCGAAACAACTTCCAAAGAAAAGTGACTGATGAAATGTTCATAATGTGTCATAAAACACATCTGACTTTAGTGCTGTCAATGTCATCTGCTATTCAGTAGAGAAAAGACAAGATTTGAAGAAGCATGTGTAATTATTGTCTTGTTTCTCTACTCTTTTTCTGGTTTTGAGAGAACAGCTAACTTGAATTTAAGGTAGCATCTGGACATTACATGTAGAGTTTGGATATGAGCATGAAATGAGTTAGGAATGGCATCTGAGTTGTAGCTTAACTTAATGCTGCAGGACAGCAGCAGGTTTATGCAATCCAAGAGTCTGCAGACAGGATCAGTAACAGCTTGCTGATCAAAGTTGTCTGCTGGACCTCATACTCGCAAACAAGGAAGGAATTGTTACAGATGAGAAGGTAGAAGGCAGCCTTGACTGTAGTGACCATGAGATGGTGGGATTCAGGATCTTGAGAGGAGGTGTCAAAAGAGAAGGCAGGTCCACAACCTTGGCTTAGTGGTCTTCTTGGAAGATGCTTGAGGGGTAAGGCTCTGGAGAGGAGGGCCTAAGAAAGCTGGCTGATATTCACCTCTTTTAATCTAAGGAGTGGTCCATCCTAATGAGCAGGAAATGAGACAAAAAATGCCAGAGATCTGCATGGATGTGGAATGAGCTTCTCATGAAACTCAAGCATAAATAGGAAATATACAGAAGGTGGAAGTAGTGATGTATAACCTGGGAAGAACTGTCCAAGTATGCAGAAGTGCAATTGGCAATGTCAAAGCCTACCTGAAATAGAATCTGAGAGATGTTGAGGGCAAAGAGGACAACTTTTATAAATGTACTGCAGGGATAAATACTGGGTCCAGTCCTGTTTAACATCTTCAGTAATGATTTATTCAACTTGGGTTTTGCCAGGGAACTTTAGATTGGATATTACAAGAGATTTCTTCACTGGAAGGGTTATCGAGCATTGGAACAGGCTGCCCAGGGAAATGATGTAACCACCATCCCAGGAGGTATTTAAAAAATGTGTAGGTGTGGTGCTTAGGGACATGGTTTAGTGGTGCAGTTGACAGTGTAACAGTCACGCTCCATCTTCAGGGTTTTTTCCAGTGTAAATGATTCTGTGTTTCTATGTGAGATATGCTTAAGTGTTTGGATCTAATGTGCATTTACAAAAAGGGTCTACTTGATTCTGTTTTTACCTTTCAAAAGGGTGCTATAAAGCAGTGGTCATATCAGAAAAGATACTGAGAAGAAAATACAGATCAAATGGGGGAGATTTATTTCAAAATCTGTATGTTTATGGTGCAGAGATTCTGTTCATACCATTTTTTTGTTTGCAGTTTAAGGAAGCAATAAAAGCCTTGCAAGTTTTTTATTGTGTTCATTGATGTGAGTGAGTGGGTGTGGGGAGACAGCAGTGGGTGACCAGGCATTAATCCTTATCTGTGTTTTTCCTGCTCCATGTCAGTCTGTATTTTAATTAGTGGGGTTTTTTTTAAATTTTTTGTTTAGTATTCCTATTTAGTATTTCAGCTGTTACAGTCAGACATAGGGTCTTTTTAATCCTAGTTGTAGAGCAGATACTGTGTTTGCCAGGTTAATATTGAAATGATTCGATGAGATTATCACAGGAAAAATAAACACTGAAAAACAATTTTGTGTATTATGTATACCTACAGAAATCCTGTTTGTAAGCATAGAATAAATCCCACTGGCTGATATGTTGAAGTAAATGAAAAGGTAGTATCATGTTAGTATTGTAGGTACTTTGAAAAAAGGGAATTAAGAAAAAATAATTTCATTGGGAGCCTATATGATTTTAATGTTCCAAGAGGTCACTGTGTACAACCATGAGCTTCTCTTTTTACAAATCTACTGAAAGCTACATTTTTCTTCATGTCTTTGAGAAGGAATGGGTCAGCTTCTTCTGTAAACTGTTCAGATATTTGATTACTGCTTATGAAGTGGCCCATTTTATCTCCACATTGCATTAAAAGCTAATTCAAAGGCTGTTGAAAGAGTAATTAGAAATCTTGATAGAATCTACAGTAAGTTTGAATCATGTACAGAATTAGTGAAGATTGGAATAGCAGTCTTTATATAAACTACTATGTACCTTACGGTATTTCTCTGAAGAAATACAAGGTATGTCTAATATGCATAGCAATGACCATAGATAGTAAGATGTTTCAAGCTTGTATTTCTTTATCATAGGAGAGAGAGAAAATTATGCTATTTTTCAGCTTTTTTTCTTGATGTTTGTGTGGTACAATTGTCAAAGATGACAAGTATTCTTTAAAGAATTTGCCATCAAAAGTGTGGATAAATTAGAAATACTGTATTTACACATTCCCTTGAAATGATGATACTGTAACGTTGTGATATTCTGAGAAGAATAAATATTTTATATTTTCCTAACATTGAATAGATTATAGTGCCTAATTAGGGTTTGTATTTTAAGAAATTAGCAGCTGCATCTCATGATCAAGTAATGTGTACTGGTCTTCTACTAATGACCATAACCTGCAAATACATAGTTGACTTCTGAGAAGTATTGTTATATATTGACCTGTTACACTGTTCTTTTAGGACTCCTGTTTACATTTTCTCAATTGTAATGTTTAAGAACAGTTAATGTAACTATTGGAAAATAGAAATTATATGTTACTTAAAAATTCATATAAGCATTTTACATAATGTTTTGGAAAAGATATGTATGTGAGGGGATGTAACAGCTTTAATAATAATTTGTAGCATTTCAGCAAACATCTCCTTTTGAGCTAAGACTACTTGTCCAAAATAATTTTTAGGAAATGAAAATGGCTATGTGTCTTGAATATAGAGGTTGTGGGTTGTGTGTTTGGTATCTGATATTTTGAAGCAAGCTGTATCTCCTGGGATTCTTTTCTGTGGGAGTATTTGCTTTTGTTCTAGGGGAGATTAGTGGTGATTTAACAGAGGATGAAAAGATCAGATGTAGTTTAAAAAAACCACAACAGATAATTTATTCTCATAACTATCACTTAATTTCTAGAAAGACATGAGTAAGATTTCAGGATGTTATAGTTGCTAAAAGCTTACAGGGGTTAAAGAAGGTGACTGGGCAATAAATTGGTAAAAGCCTATGGGGTACTGTTAAGTAGAAGGGTAAGACATCTATCTGGAGAAACATTCAAGCTGCAAATTACTGCGGGCTAGAAGTCTATTCTGGGGAAGTAACAACTTTGTTTACACTGTTTCTAGTCTGCTTTTGGCCACTGTCAGGTGGGGTATACTGCCTAATTGACAGCTAAATTTTATCTGGTGTGTTTATTGCTGTTTTTTAACTTTGTATGTGTCTCTGCCTACATGGTGGAGTCATTGCTCTTATTTTGCTGTGTTAGTTTGCTTCTCTAAGTTGACTGCACAATTTGTGATAAATTTTATATGATTAAAAAAAAGAAAATCTGTAAATTAATTTGAGGAATAATAAGATAAAATTGCTTCTTAAGTTTTATCTTTTACAGCTTTACTACCTTGCTGATTATTATGGTTTTTACATTTGAAAGTGCACATTTTACCAGTGTTAGCTATCATATTGGTGTTTAGTTTTTTCTTTGATAATGCTAATAAAATTATTTTTTTAAAAAAATTATATTTTAAATGCCTGTCACATAGGCACATCTAAGCCAAATCTTCCATTTTAAAGAATCAAATTTTCTATCTTGAATGAACGGATTCTGGAAAATGCTTTACTCCTTTGTAGGTGTTCCAGATAACTTACAGATAGTTTTTTCTTACTAAGTGAAATACTCCTTGCAGACAGCCAGAAGTGCTTGTTCAATGAGAAGGTTGAATTTCATACAGAACATACCATTTTATTTATCAGTTCTAATTCCTGCATATGTAACATGCTTGATTAAAAATCCAAGGAACTGAAAAATGAGAGACTATTAAATGTTTATTACTTCTTACTTAAACATGTATTCTTACTTTACCACCTGCCCAATTATTGGATCTCACCATGTTTCTTAGTCCTAATCAGCTGCATCAGAGCTGCAGTCTGCCATCAATTCATTCCCCAGATTTGAGTAAGACTACCAGAACTGTACAGAATTCAATGATGGGGAGTGCAGAGCAGGTCCTTGTTAAGGGCACATTTAGAGGCTGTCTTCCCAACAAAGAAACTTGCCTGAATAGAGTTTATAATAATTCTGAGTATATTTTTTCTTTCTCTGAGAGAAATGGTGCCGGAGCACCATTTAATGTCTTCCCTGGAGGTGCTAGTAATTGCTGTTATAATGAAGTCTAATGTCTTTCTCTTCAGTTTTGTAGCTTTGATCTTGGTTATACTGACTCTAAGGTTCTGTATTACCTGAAGTTAGAATTGCACTTTGTGCATGAATCTGAAGTACAACAAAAAAATGGCTTTTTGAATCACTTTCTGAATGGCTTTTAATATGCAATTTTTATAGGCAATAATGCAAGGAAACAGCTGAAATCCCATGAAGTCAAAAGATTTCTTCTGTGGTATATTTCTTATGCAGTACAACATTATGGTTAGAAATACCTCTGAAGTGATGTAATGGTTTTAGTTTATACTTTTCAGAGAAATGGTAAATTTCTGCATGAAAATTAAATTCTTAAATAATGTTTCTTACTACTAGCATTACTTTGTAAATAATTAAAAAGCAGAGAGAGGCTCAGTGAAACTTAATAGTTTCCAGCTATGATCTCATAAAAGATCTTACTTACAGCTATTATTTTCATTGTGTCTGGTGTTTCAATCCATGTTAGATTTGATGTATTAAGTGTTAAGCAGATGAGAACTTCCTTACATTGTCTGCTCTGAACATCTCAGACTTAGAAACTGATGTAAGTCTTAAAAAGGTCAAGATAATTTTTTTTCCAAGTAACTTCAACTGTCTTTTGAGAGTGCTTATGAATTTGTAGTGATAGTCTTTTGAAGGGCTAGATCATGTGTCTATCTCTTGGGTGAGACTATTGCATAAAATTTAATTATGGTATACATTTATTAATGCATTTATTATGTATCTTTTTCAGGGTATTGAGGAATGGAATATTGCCCATCTTAATACAATATTGGATGTTGTAGGAGAAGACTGTGGAATATCTATTGAGGGTGTAAATACACCGTATCTATATTTCGGCATGTGGAAAACAACATTTGCATGGCACACTGAAGATATGGATCTCTACAGTATTAATTATCTCCATTTTGGAGAGCCAAAGTCATGGCAAGTTTAAATTTTTATGAAAGACTATTTCATTTATCTGTTTGTTTCAGCTGACTAAATGAAACAGATGGGATACAGTTGCTTCACAGTGATAAGTTTTACTGAAAAGCTAAGATAGGAGTTCTGTTTTTTTTTTTTTTAAATTGAGAATGCTATAAACATTGCAATAATGCATTCTTTTATTTTCAAGGAAAAGACTAGTAAGCAAATAAGGCTTATTTGAGTTCAACAGAAAAAGATTGCTGTGAAGGAATATGAGAAATATAAGGAATTGGGAAGCCCAAGACTGAAGGAACTTCTGTAAGGCCTCTTTGAAATAAGCTTTTTTACTTCAGTTGTCCTTGGGGACAGCCTAACATGTTTTGTATTAAACATGCATTTAATTGCTTTTTTGAAAGAGTTGTATTCTAAACTCAGTAGGCCCAGTAGGAGATAAGATTCTGTGCTAAAGGTACTTCCTAGATACAAAGCTTTTGTAATCCTTTCTCCATAATCTTAGATTTTTTGATGGGTAGCCTTAACAGAGAGATGAGTAGGGTTAATGTTGTATGTACAAATTGTGACATACTTGTATTTTAAAACAGATGAGAAAAATATTTTCCTTTTGGTTATAAAATCTTACTTTTAAAAAAATGCTTGTGAAGATAACCAAATAATTAGAAAGCTACATAAAATGTGCGTTATGCTTGGATCGGTTTTTGCAGTTTCTCGTAATCCAAACATAGAGACAAATATTGCAGCTGGTAAATCTGCAAAACATTAGAGAGAGAAGGTAAACTATTGTAGTAATGTAGTAAAGTTATTGTAGTAATGCAAGTTCATGTTTTGAATTGTTTTAAATATGTATGTATTTTTTATAACTTGCTGCTTTCATAGAAGTAGACATACTACAAAAGCCTTCTCAGCCATAAGAACAATAACTTTTTAAAAAATTGATGTAAAGATTGGCAATTCCAAAATCATCTAAGATGACAGGACACATTTAACTTAAACAATGATTGCAAAACATTGTTTTGGATTCTTAGAAATTTTATAAGTGCTATTTGAAGAAAACCTTGCTGCATATTGTAAAATTCTGTGTAGTTGAGACATTTACTTCTGTTGTCATCATGACACAGTGCAAGCACTAAAATTAAGTGGATTCCAATTCAGTGTCAGATTTATCTACTCCCTACACTTTAAAAATTCTATAGTAATGGATAAGGCTTTATGTTAATTTTATTGACGATGTTAGTTGTCAGCCAGTCTCTAAGATCTTTGGCTATTAATTTTTATTCTCTCAAAAAAACCTCACCCAAGAAACCAAAACTAGAATATCGATAGATGTTGGGACTTGAATAGTTTTGTGTTGGCTCTCTCATTACTAATTGTGGATAATGCTAATGCATGTGTTGTAAGTACATCACATATTTCAGTTATTTCTATGTATTTCTATTTTACCCTGGAATTAAGTTAATGTAATGGTATTTCTGATCAAAATCCAAACATTCTTGGTCCTGCACTTGGGTCACAGCAACCCTAGGCAATGCTACAGGCTTGGGGAAGAGTGGCTGGAAAGCTGCCCAGGGGAGAAGAACCTGGGGGTGTTGGTTGACAGCTGAATGAACATGTGCCCAACGTGAGCCCAGCGTGTGCCCAGCATCCTGGCCTGCATCAGGAAGAGTGTAACCAGCAGGACTAGGAAAGTGTTTGTCCTCCTGTACTCAGCAGTGGTGAGGCCACAACCCGGGTACTTTGTTCAGTTTTGAACCTCTCACTACAAGAAGGACCTTGAGGTGCTGGAGTATGTCCAGAGAAAGGCGATAAAGCTGGTGAAGGGTTTAGCACACCAGTCTTATGAGAAGCAAGCAGCTGAGGCAACTAGCGTTGTTTAGTCTGGAGAAAAGGAGGCTGAGGGGGGACCTTATTGCTCTCTATAACTACCTGAAAGGAGGTTGTACAGAGGTGGGGATTGGTCTTTGTCCCTGAGTAGCCAGGGGATGATTAGATTGGGTATTAGGAAAAATTTCTTCACTGAAATGGTTATCAAACACTGGAACAGACTACTCAGGGAAGTTGTATAGTCAGTATTCCTAAAGTTATTTAAAATATCAGTGGATGTGGCACTTAGGATGTGATTTAGTGGTGGACTTGGCAGTATTAGGTTAACTGTTGAACTTAATGTTCTTAAAGTTCTTTAACAACTAAAATGCTTCTGTTGTTTGTAATAAAACTGAACTTTAGTAAAATCCTTACTTGTTTTTTCTGGATTTTGTACTGGATTCTCTTTCTTTGCCATGTAAGGTAAAACTTAAGTTTTAGTCAAAGTCAAACAAAGTTAGTGGCCATTTTGTAATGTAAGCTGAAAAGAAGTTGGACACAAGATTATGAAAAAATATGGTCCTAAAAGATTTTAAATCTGCTGAAGTTCTCCTGTTAGCTAGCTATTACACCAAGAGTGAGTAGTTTTTTCCTCTTAGTGATCTGAGTTTTGGAGTTTTCTTGTTTAATTTGCTGTGCAATAGGCCAAGGATCCAGTCGGAGTCATAGTTATCATAGTATCACAATATTGTTCTGGTTGCAAAAGACCTTGAAGATCATGAAGTCCAACCACTACCCTAACTGTTGCATCCACCACTAAAACCTGTCCCCTGGCACCACATCTGTCTTTTTAGATGTCTCGAGGGTTAGTGGCTCAACCACCTCCTCAGACAGGCTGGATTACCAAGTTCAACTCCCACCCCAGAAGCGGACAACTCCAAAGTTCGCACCATGTCCCTGAGGTCGTTGTCCAAATGCTTCTTAAGTATTGTCAGGCTCGGTGCCATTACTGCTTCCTTGGGGAGCCTATTCCAGTGCTCCACCACCCTCTTGGTGAAGAACCTCTTCCTAATGTCCAACCTAAACCTCCCTCTGCACATCTTCCTACCGTTCCCTTGGGTCTTATCGTTGGCCACCAGAGAGAAGAGGTCAGTGTCTACTCCTCCTCCTTTCCTTAATGCGGAAGCAGTAGCTGTGATGAGGTCTCCCCTCAGTCTTCTCTTCTCCAGGCTGAATAGACGAAGTGCCTTGAGCCGCTCCTCATTCAGCATCCCCTCTAAACGCTTCACCAACCTTCTGGCCCTTCTCTGGACACTCTCTAGTAGCTGGACACTCTCGAGTAGCTTAATATCCTTTTTGTACTGCTGTGTCACTGGAATTTGACTGGTATCCAAGACAGATGCATTTGTGTTAAAAAACCTCAGTGTTCTAATAAATTGTGTTAGAAACCCAGTCTGAAGATCCTGGAAACAGACTTTGGGGCTCCTAATGTCTGATACCACAAAGACAGTATTCTTTTATTGGTTCATTTCTTATCTTTGAGACAAGATTTTTGGCAACAGTGGGAAGAAATAAAGGACTGGGGAAGTAGATGTTAGCACAGACCTTTGCTGAATGCAATGATGAAAAGTGCCATTTTGCCTTGGATTAAACATTTCTTGGTAATTTTAGATTAGCTAAATAAATAGACATAACCCAGTTAAATTGTGTCACATGTTTTTGAGAGGTATATTGAGAAGTGAGTTGTCCAGTTTTGCATTTTTTGTAATAGTGATAAGTACTTACATGTTTATGTGTAGAAATGGTAGCACATGGCTGCAGGTTATCACAAGTATGTGGTTACTTGTACTTTTAGAAGAGTAACTTTTTAGGAAGTTACCATTCCAATTAGAGACAAAGCATAGAAGTCTCTAGTTTGAGTTTTTGTTAGACTTAAGAACTCTCTGATCATGTTTCACTTCATGGAGTTGTGTATTTAATGACAAACAGTACAGTATAAAATGGTATACATGGCATTTGTCTCTGCTAGGATGTGAAGGATGTAAACATATAGTTTAGATTACTGTTTATACGCTGATGGATGTGTAATACGGAGTTGAGAACAGTTACAAACACATTGAAAATATAAATGGAGAGGAAATAAATCTATTTTTGTAAAACTGAAATTCTGATTAAAACTGCAAACATTGAGCACAGTCAATCTGAAAGTCTTTGTTTAACACCATGTGCAGTGGCTTGTCAGTAGGAATGGGTTTTGTCACTGTCACAGTTTGACTCAACTTAGAGCACACATTTCTGGGGTGCAGAGGGTCTTCCTTCTATGCAGCAGTTTCAGTTGTAATAGAACAAAAATGTTGGTGTGCAGATGAGAGCTAGAAGTAGGGAGATGTTGATTTGTTGTGCAAAATGAAGGGCCTAGGGTCCTTCACTTATTTTTCTGAGTAAATTGTCATGTGAGATGAATGAGATAAGTGTTTACAGGGTAGTAAAATTAAAAAGAGTTGTATGTGGTTTTGGACTATGTTATGTTAATGTGCTGTTTTGCAACATTGAAACAGTTAAAGTCAATAATAAAACATGACTAATACCTACACTATATCTATGAAGTGCAGTAAAATGGCTTTCAGAAAGAAGAATGAAATTACAGGTTTTCAAGTTTTTTAACTCTGATAAACATTAAAAATAACATAAGGTTAATTCCTGCTTTTTTATATTGTTACTGCCTTGTTACAGATAGCCTAAGAAATATTTAAAAAATAATTTCTTCATTAATTTGCTATCTCTAATTGTAACATTTTTACAATGAAAATCCTTTTATTTCACAGCATTGTCTATAGGAAAAAAAGAGAAGTGTTTAATGCTTGTATTTTTCTGTTGAACTCTTGTGTGTTGTGAAGCACAGTAGAATTCAAAGAAATTAAACCTATGTAACTTATGTGTTTTTATTTAATTGGGAAACTAAAGTATATGTGTCTTTTTTAACTGGAGTGGTGTAATTTCATGAAATATTGTCAGCATGCATGATTTTAAATTGTGTGTATGATATTCTTGAAGTAAATATTATAAAATTTAAAGCTAAAATGTTTTCTCAAAAAAATCTGTCTATTTTTTCATCATGAAATGCTATTTTTTTCTATATAATGTGTTGGTCTTCCATCTTTTTTGGCTTCTGTATTTTTAGTTATTTATCATATAGGAAGCATGGTTTGTGTAGTATTTTTTTAGCTTTTAATCCTTTTCTTTATGTAAATTTTAGGTATGCTGTTCCTCCAGAGCATGGGAAGCGGCTTGAAAGACTAGCTCAAGGTAATATTTTCAATATTTCCATATGTAAGATCTTTGAAGGACAAATTTCCAGCAAAGTGAAAAACATTGTCCTTGTCTTACCTACTATGTTTTGTTACTTAATGTTGTGTGACTTTTATCTGTCTATGATATGATTTCAAGAAAGTAACACTTCCTAGTAATCTAAGGAATTCTTAAGAAAGAAAATAGTCTTTTTCTTCCCTCGTAGAACTTTATTTTCTGATGGAATTTTTGGTTGCTTAAGCTTATGAAAATGAGGCTTAGTATTTTGTTGTTCATTAGATTTTCTTTGCTAGGATCTTTGTTTCCCCTGTGCCCTTGCATTTTTCTTGTCACACCTTCCTTATGTTGGTAAATTTTGAATCTTAGCCAAATTTGATACAAAGCTAGAAAAATTGGAGACAGTTGAGTTTCCAGAAGTTTCATGAATGGTAATGGCTGGGATAAAGGATGGAAACCTGGTCAGTACCCTTGGGAAGGGGCAAGCAGACAAAATGTACCAATGCTAAATCATATTTTTAGCAGCCTGCTGGCCAGTGAGCAAGCATATGAATGCAGAAATAATTAGGCATGTATCTTGGCCTGGCAGTCCATGTTTTATAGCCTGCTACTAACCATACTTTATAAGGAATGCTATTGAAAGTTGATAATTATATACCTTGTATCAGGGTCAAATTCTGAAAGTTTTTGTAAATATTCTTTTTGTATCCATTTTATGTGCATATGGGTGCATGACTTTTTCTGAGCTATTTTTAAACTGTTGCTGAGAATAGTAAAAGGGCACATATCACTGACATGTGAAAGTGAAGATACATGAACTTGCAGTCTTAAAAGTGTTTCTCAGATAGATTTAAATGTGGATAATTGCGTTGACTTCTAAATTTTCCCATACTTTTAGTTGAGCAAGTTGCTTTCCAGATTTTTTTTCCAACTTGCAAAGTATAGAACTCTTCATACACATACCTTGAAGTTTTTGCTTTTCACTGGTAACCAAATTGATACATGTGGCAGACTGGGCAAGTGACACTGACTTACGATAGCATCATCCAAATTTAATTTTAAGATTGATGGGAAGTGAGCAAGGGGTAAATTGGAAAAGGTGCTGAGAGGGCCACTAAGATTAGTGAAAAAATTGCCATTTGTTTCAATAATTGTTAGTAACCTCTAACTTTTGAATCTGAAAAAGTGTCAAATAAAGGGAAGGGGATATAATAAATACCTATGATGACTGGCATCAGAGAAGTAACAGAAGAATGATTGGTCACTGGGTCTTCCAGTACAGCGAGAGACTCTGTATGAAGAGCCTTAACAGGTTCGATAGAATCACAGATTCATAGAATCTTTGAAAGGTTAGGGTTGAAAGGAAACTTAAAGATCATCTAGATCCAACCGCCCTCTGTGGGCAGGGACACCTCCCACTAGATCAGGTTGCTTAGAGCCCCATCCAACATGGCCTTGACTACTTCTAGGGATGGGGCTTCCACAATCTCCCTGGGCAACCTGTTCCAGTGCCTTACCACCCTAATTGTAAAGAATTTCCTGCTAATATCTAAGAGATGCAATGCTGGATCTTGTCCTCACCAACAAGGAAGGGCTGGTGAGGGATATTAAGCTCAAGGGCAGCCTAGATTGTCGTGTCCCTCACGGGTCAGTATTGACCAGTGCTGTTTAATGTCTTTGTTGGAGATATGGGTAAGTTTGCTGATGACACCAAGCTGTGTGGTGTGGTTGACACCCTAGAGGGAAGGGACACCATCCAGAGAGACCTTGACAGGCTGGAGAGGTGGCCCAATGCCAACCTCATGAAGT